CCCCAAAACCCCAAAACCCCAAAACCCCTATATGACACACAGGCATTGTAATAAAATAATAAATATTTCTGCTAAAATGGACACCCCAAGAGGTAAGTTAAGTATTAAAAAGCATGAATCATTAAGGCCGGTTCCCAAAATTTTCACCGCGGTATCATAAATTTCCCAGCGTATAAAGAGCCAGGTTTTGATCCAAAAGAGGCTAAATGGAATTTATACGAATTCACCGAACAATAGATAGAGAATTTAATATCTGGCTGCCATTTTTTCACGAGACGATAAAGACTTTCTTCCTCTCAGAATATGTAGCATAGTCCGCACTGCTCTTAATACAGGCTTGGTTTCTAAAATTGTACCCGACAAATTTGGATCATTAAATCTAATAATACTACGGGAAATATTATTGGGATTCCGAAACTCACTAGTCTAAGCAACCTCGATAGAGGATGGGAGTTGGCTATGGATTATAGTGTTTTTGAGACATTGGCTGCATTCGTGCCTGATTTGATAGTTTCAGCAGCTGGGGAAAATTTACTTGTTTTTTGATTGAGTTTTGAAATATATTCATTTCCCAATTTTGAAACTACGCTAACACTTATTTAATAGATATTCAAAAAGACAACGATGTTGAAATGATTGACGAGTCCTCCTCTGTAAGGTACTTTTTCTGATGATTAGGATCAAGGAGATAACCATGGAAGTCACCATGATCAAAATCAGCCAAGATCCCTCACTAAGATTACAGGGAGATGGTCTCAGAAGGAACATCAAATTTTCGTCGATTGTAAGCATTCTTTCAAAGTTTTAGGCCTCAATAAGTATGGAAAAGACTGGGTAATGCTTGAGAAGTCAATAACTACAAGAACAAGCACTCAGATCCGAAGCCATGCCCAAAAATATTTCAACACTATTAAGGAGAAGTTCAATGTCAAAGACCCTTATGATAATATCAACTATGATATGGAGCACGGTAAGACATTGCCTTACTATTAATCACATAAAATTAGGTATACACCAAAGTTTAAACGAGATGGAAGGGACTGGAACCAGAAAGAATCTCAAATCCCTCAATTTAAATACTCGAGAAATACAGAGCTATGAAGAATACAAATATGATGATAAGAGGAATACTTTGAAGCATAAATCTCATGAGCTTTCTAATAAATGGCAATACAGAGATTCTAGTTCTGGGACCCCAGTTTCTTATCCCACTTCTAAACAAAAGAACTTGAAGTCTTCATACCAATCAAACAGTAAAGAATTAAAAACTGAAGAGCCATCAAAAATTTCTCTTTCAAGCTCTCTGTTGCTTGAAAATGGACAAGTCTCGATCAAAGGGAACAAAATCAAGACCTCCATTCCGTGAGAAATCGAACACATTACACTTGCAAGGTATGCTCAATATTTACATATAGCGGACTTAGCAGCACGATGGTTGTTCCAAGCGAACCATCAATGCTCGAAGTCAGACCAATGCTTTTGGACAAACCAATGATCTTTGACCTCAACATGAATAGCTTCTTGAACAAATCTGATAACTCCCAGCAAATACCAAGGTCCTCATCCGAGCAGACATCGAACAAGAACTCAGACTTCGATAAAATCATGGAAGTTCTCGACCAAAACTACTGTATGTTTGCAGTCAAAGGTCATTGCGGGGAGAGTTCAGAGTGCCAAATGAGTTCGATGCATAGCCCAGAATCATCATCCTCGAATAGTCTGAACCAATCCAGAGGGCAGTCAAGCTCTAACAACTCACAGCCAGTGGAGCACAACACCATAAATAATGCATGGGCTCGAAGACTACATAAATAATTCTATTTGCCCATAAAATAATTCCTTTAAAGTTTTCTAATAAGCCGGTTACTCTCTGGTGGGCTCCAACCTTCGAATTCTTCCTGGAATCTCAGGAGTAAATTATTCTACTAAATTTTTAGATGGCTTGGGCAGATGGACGGGGAAGCAGTCAGAATATGTCGGAGGGAAACACTTGGTTGAGATTAGCACCCCCTGACTTGCTGAGAGACTTCAGTGTGAAATTCTGTCCAATATATTATAAATATGATCGATTTTCTAAGGCTTTGGGAATTTAAAATGCATATTTTGAAGCAATAGGAATAGTTTAGAGGCTTTTGCATACAGTCACAGCACAAATGATACTGAATCAGTCTATAAATTAAATAGGCCATAAGCTACTCCAGAAGTGAGTCTCCCGGTCCTGTATATTGGGAGATAGCATCTGCGAGTTAGAATAATACAAATAAAACCAGTTTTTATCAGAAAAGTACAATTTTACTCTTCAAATTTAATCTATCATTCTTGAGGTGTCTTATCAAAGTTAGTCTAAATATTTATCCCAAGTAGGTTTATCGACCAACTATTACTTGAGAGTATATTGCATCGAACCAATAAGATCTGTAGAGGAAACAATGCTCATTTTGAATCTCATGTGCCAAAGAGTATTCATAAACCACAACTCTTGGTTAAAATTAAAAATCACCGATAGTTCACAGAGATCAATATTAAAAGATAATTTTGTTATCCAATTGCTTGTCAAAATCTTGGGGTTTTGGGGTTTTGGGGTTTTGGGG